CAATTAATAATGTAAAGTAACATTTTTTTAAAAAAATATATTTTATTGATTTTTTACAGAGAGGAAGAGAGAGGGATAGAGTGTTAGAAACATCGACGAGAGAGAAACATCGATCAGATGCCTCCTGCACACTCCCTACTGGGGATGTGCCCCTGACCAGAATTGAACCTGGGATCCTTGAGTCCACACGCCAATGCTCTATCCACTGAGCCAAACCGGTTAGGGCTGTATAGTTATCCTTTACAACAGAAACCTAAGTACAGGCATTCATAGGGGAAAGGAAATCATGATGGGAAAAGTTACCTTTAAAAACCAGAATCTTATCTTTAGGGTTCTCATATGCAGCTTGAATATCAGCTGGCAGAGATGGCCAAAGTGTTGAGATTAATTCAAATTCAACATCGGTGATATCACAATAGATCCTCCATAGGTACCTGTGTTAAACAAAAAACACTTTCTACACACAGCCTATGTATGTCTGGGTCCATGAGAATATTTTAAACTGAGGCTTGGCTTTTATCTAATTGGTTGGTATTTTCCTCAAATAATTTAGAGCTTCAATACAATTTCCCTAAGTGAAGTTAGGTGGCTGTGAGTTCAATTCTACTCTTTGGACTACCAAGGTCAGGACATACCTTCGTGCCCATTCTCTTGGGTATGTAGAGTAGAAAACTTTCCATGGAATCCTCATAAATAGTACTTGATGTTTTGGGGAGTTTAATTCATCTACTACCCAAATTGGAGTGCTCACTGGTCTCATTTTTGCCAAAACTGAAATACTCAACATTCTAAGCCAACACCAAGCACTCTGAGAACTTTTTGGTGCCGGTGTTTGCTAGAACGAAGGAACATTATTGTGGGCATTGCCAAGTATTTCCACAGATTTTCCCTTCTGGAAAGTTCTGATTGTCTGAATGAGACATTAAAAGTCCTTATATTCTATTCCCCTTCCCATGCTGGCAACCCTCCCCTGCCACGTGGTCTCTCGCCTCTGCATCAGGAGCATGTCATTACAGAGCTATATAGTCATGGGTGGAAAGAGTCTGATTTCAAATATTCTTTCCTTTTGTCCCATGTCTTGTTAGATGGTATATGTCCTTATACTTTCTTCTAAAAACAGGCCTGGTGTACATAACTGGCACATCATGCTGCAATTAATGCCCGATAAAGTATACACAGAGATTTCCTACTACAGTTAACACTTTGTTGTTGTAACATTAAGAAATGGCCTGCTGATATGAGTTTAACATTGGGCTCTCCAGGTAGAAAAAAGATTTAATTTTTATCACTTTCTGATTTGCAGGATGTAAATACTCTAACCATAGCCAGTTTCAAGCTACCAAAGGGATGTGAACTGGTTTACAAAATTTCTGAAAATTTAACAATTGGATCCTGAAATTCTATAAGTCATCTCCAACAGGCCGCGAGATTGGTGTGTTATTTTAGCTAAAACATCATTGAAGGCTGACTTTCAGTGGAAATTTAAAAATTTGCTTAAAGACCTTAAAAATCAATTTATCAAACAAGTAAGATATATATGCACATAGAAAAACATTCAAACAGTATGGGATATTATAAAATGAAAAGTAAAAGGCACACATTCTTGCTATGCTCACAACTCCCTCTTTATCCCTAAATCTCTTGAATAGAAAAATCTTCGTAGAAAGTTAAGGTATTTAAGGGAATGGGTTTACCTGCCTTTAAAGAACATTACTTCTCTGCGGAAAGTGGTAATAGCATCAAAAGTCAAATCAGGGTCGCAGGCACGGGGTACAGTGGGTCTCTTTGGCTTAGCAGGTGCCGTAGGTAGACCCCCTTTGATGAGAAAAGAAATACCAGAATTAAGAAGGCATGTGGAAATACCTACAGGAGGATCTTACCCAACTGAATATTTTCTTCATGATAGTATTTCAAGAAGTGATTTTCTCAACTTCCTTCTAGAAACCTTCCCATTTAGTTCACATTATACTCAGATGTATGGTGTTGCTCACCGTAGATGGATTGGATTCCGTTGATATCGTCCTGAGAAAGTGGGTATTTGCTAGGATCCAAGGAGACATAATTTGGGAACATCAAAGCTCTTTGATCATTGGAGTGAGAGAGCCCCAGTGAGTGGCCAAATTCATGAGCAGCCACAAGAAATAAGTTGAATCCTTAACAAAAACAGGGAAAACAGGAGCACATGAGTCACTCAACAGGAGAATGTTACACCTGAGACTAGGAAGTAACTAAAGGTTTGCCCTATAGCGGTTAATTCTTGTAACATATGCATCATCACTTATATGGGGAATATTTCAATATTAATCAGTGGTATTAGTCATATCATGGAGAAATGCAACCCAAAGTAAGCAAATGGCAGAAATCAAGTGTCTCAGGAATGGATAGTATTAAAAAAGGTTGAAGTTGCCAGCTTTGGTTGTTGCTAGGCTATGCTATATGTGCTGTTTCTTCTACTCATATTCTTCAGAGGTTCTCCATTGGCTGTAGGGTGAAGTCCAAATACCTTCACATATAGCCTTTCACTAGTAAGGTCTAGTCCCTGCGTTTTCTCCAGGCTCATATTTTATTTTCATATTCCATGAGCTAGCCATGTTCAATCATTTGCAGTTCTCCTTTATGCTACGTTCTTTCTAATCTTAATGTCTTAATATCTCATTTCTTCTGCCCAGAATATTACCTCTCGTACCCCCTTGTTACCTAGCTATCCTACTTATTTCTCTTGAACTATCTCCTTCATGAGACTTCCCTTATCCCCTCAGCTCCTACCCAGATTGAGTTAAATGTACCTCTCTGAGCTTCCATAGACTCAGTGCCTAATTCTGGCAGAGCGCATTAAGGGACAGCAATTGTCTATTTCTTTCACCAAGCTGTGAATCTTTCGGTCAAGTGACTATGTCTTAACCATCTTTTATTCCTGGTGACTGCAAAACTTATCAATAGTGAATGCTTAACAATGGTTGCTGGCTATGCAGGTATTTGTAGAATCGTTACCTACACCTCTTATATAAGACCATGTTACCCTGTACTTCTCCATACCGGAAATCTTACTATGCATGGTGGAATTGCCTTTTTACTTCTCTGTCACTAGCCCTTAGGGTTATAAATATTAGAATCTGCCCCTGGACTTAGAACTAGGCCTATGGATCCTAAGGAAAAGGCTGAGCCTTTCATGATGGAGCCTTGTCCAATGATATTTGCACAAAATGAACATGAAATGACAAAAGGATTATTACATGGCATTTCATGTTTTTCTGCTCTTGATGTTGTTGCTGCCCCTTGTCTGGATGGTGATATCACAGGGTTTGCTTCTGGACAGGGGATGGGACAAACAACTGAAAAAATAATTAAAACACAGGTCATCTAAATGAGGTCCAAACCTTTATCCTGGCTTTCATGACCCTCTATAATCTGAATCCTATTCACCATTTTAGCTTTCTCTTCCACTGCAGTTCTAACACTTCAGTTGGTTGGATTATTCTGTCCAGAGCACTCTTCACTACACTTTGCCTTCAGAGTTCCTGCTTGGCCGTCAGGTCTCTGACTGGACGTGACTTCCTCCCTGGCTTCTTTATCTGTCTTTGGGTGAATTTCTTTGATGTGCTTCTATTACATTCCCATAGTTCCCTTTATCCGTATGTTGACCATACTGATTTGAATTGCCATTTGAGAGTGTGTGCTCCCTAGATTGTAAACCCTGGAGGTTAGGGTCTGTGTCTTATCCACTATTGCATACTCCATTTCTATCACAGAGCCTGGGCCAGAGAGGATGTTGAATGACTTCCTTTATCAAATATGTGTAGAGCATCTATCATGTGCTGAAAGTTACAGGATGTATGATACGGTAGGAAAAGTATAACATCTCAGTCTTCTTGGAGATGTGACTACATAAAATTTGCATTATACATTGGTACCTTTGTGAATATTTTTTCCCCCTGTGCCTGGAAATAAATCATCATTACCATCAATACTAATAATCATCAATGTCAAACACCTTTTGAATGTTCACAATGGGCAAGTGCTTTGCAGGGTGTTGGATGGCAGGTACTTGTGTCATCTTCCTGCAAGAATGGCATTATCAGCCTTATTTTACAGATAAATAAACAGAGCACAGGAAAGTTAACCAAGATGCCCAGGGTCCCTCCGGTAGTGAGTAAACGGGAGGCCCTAAAAGAGACCAAGGGCTGCCAAACCACAGACCATCGCTCTTTCCACATCACAACACAGTAGCATCTAAAGAGCCTGTTCAGGTGTTCGGTGAACGTCTCTGTGTAGCACATACACATTCACATACAGGCCTGGCTTTAGGAGATTCTTGGGAAAATCTCTCTATGAGCTGTAGGTTTGCCCCTCTGCTATTTCCATGTAATGACTTGTTCTTCCTACAGGAAGCAGTGGGATTAACAGATGACTATTGTCTATTGCTCTTAGGCAAGTTATACTAAGACTTTAGCACCTTTCCCACAGACAGACCCTACACGTTTCAATCAAGCAGGTAATCATATAGCATATATTATTGCCAATTTTTTTATTTAAAATTCCCAATGTAATTGGAGATTACATTTGCATGAGGGTTTTGTTGTTGTTTTTATTAGAGAATGGGAAGATATTTCCCCTTTGATGTCAGTGAGCTACAAGACATACAATTGGATTCCTTGGGGCTTACAATCTATACCTTGAAGAGTATAATAAAGTAGTTAAGAAGCAAACCATTTATTTGGGTACTGTTGCTTGATTCTGCACCCAGAACTTGGTGGAGGGCTCTATTTATTCCCTGACTTGCTCAAGCAAGTTTTGCCAACGTGGGACCCAGAACTCTTTGGACGTTTTAATAATCCACCCCATCCACCCCTCTTGGCAGAAGGTTTATAGCACTGTGGGTCATAGTAATTATTACTAAATATTGGACTTAATAGGGATGAAAGGATGGTGAAATCTTTGACTAATCTCTGCCTCTAGATATGAAAGCAAATCCTGGGAGTCATGCTGATTTTGGCAAATACTAGGATATTGCCTATTGAACATATTCACACTGCCTTTAGGGAAAATCCAAAGAAATATTGGGACATGTCTCAGCAGCAGATACATAACCAACATGACCCATTCAACCCTACTTCCTTCACCCACTTGTCTGTGATGCTAACCTTTGTGGCAATGGAAGCAACCGACTCTAGACTTGCCCTGGTGCCTGAAGTCCAGCCATGCACTGACTGTTTTACCCTGCTTGTTCACTAGCACTTGGAAGAATACCTGCATTACAGTGAGTGGCCATAAACCATACTGAGTCACTGGCTTTCAGTTTTGCAGAAAGTATAAAACTGACATACAGACTATCTGGAGTTACTTGGTCAGAACTGAACTGTGGCATGTGTACCACCCATCAGCAGAGCCACAGCCTCTGCTTCCCTGGGACCCTAGACACCAGATACCAGCTCCAAGGTAACTGCTGTCTGTGACAAAAAAAAAAAAAAAAAAAAAAAAAAAAAGAGTGGGGAAAGTCTCCTGAGCTCCTTTGTTTGATGCACGTTTTTCGTGTATTAAAGTGTTTTTTTTTAATAAAAGTTTTGTTTTTTTATTTAAAAAGTAATAAAATACCCCTTATTTTAGGGCCAGGAGGCCCTTTAAGAGAAATAAAATCAAACGCTTGTTCTGAAGGAATGGATCAGATGTAAAGATTAGCGTCTAATTCGTTAGCAGATGGGTAAGAGTTTGAAGAGGAAGTTCATGCTTGTAAACAGACCTTCTACGAGCCACGAGTTCACACACACCATCCTTCAATCACTAACTAAAAATTACCACGTCTGTAGAGGCTTTTTAAAATCCTCACCCACAGATGACTTCTACAGCATGTTCTGCCGTGTATGCTGGTATATATGCCTAGAACTTATATACCGCCAGATCATGAACCTCCGAAGGCCTGGAATTTTTCTAGTACAATCCTGTGGTTCCCACAACACCTTGCATAATTCCAGGCACAGAACGAACCCTCAGGCATTGTGGGTGTATAAATGAATATGAGTAAGTGAGAATGTTATGATTATAATAAGATTAGCAACTTTATGAGGTGTTGTGTGGCTGAGGCTCTGATTATACAAGCACAATTGTCTGAATAGATATTGAATGCTTTCATCAGTCATCTGAAAATATGGAAACTTGTGAGAAAATCGGACCATTAAAAAGCTACTACTTGCAAAACTATTTTCAGGAATTCTCTAGAATAATAAAATTTTGTTCATAAATAAAATTAGGCTTACCTTCTCCATCCTTGGTCCAATTTTCAGCCTCATCAAAGTGAGTGTCTCCACCCAGACCTACACCAGGAGGAAAGGCATGGGCGAGGAGTCCCAAGGGCCCATCAAAATAACGAGGACACTGACCATGGACTGAGACAAAATTCAAAGCAGGGAAAGGTCAGTTTCTTCAAAGCCTTGAGATGAAATAGCCATGTTTTCCTCACGATATTAAAGCTTACCTCGGTTCCGAAAGGCAATCATTATATCCGCAACCCCCTTGGAAATCTTGGTGAAGGTGAGTGGAGTGACTTTGCTCCACACCTCTAGACCTTTTTGGATAGCCTCATCCACGTCAGCTCGTGCCATATCTGGAGTGTAATTCACGATTCTTAAAAATTAACATAAAGATGTCCGTTGGTGGCTATACATGCATGTTTGCATGCATACTACACAAGAAAATAATTTCTATCTTATGAATCAGATGCTGCAGTGACTTTGGGTATGCTGCTATACTTACACGTGTGTTATACTTTACTATTTAAATAAAGTACTTTTTCAATTCTCTCTCATCTGCCTTATTAATCAGGTAGTATTATAACACTTTAACATACAAGGTTCAAACAGGTTAAATGAATTCCCTAAGATCACACTCTAAATGGGAAAGCATTCGTCCCATGGACGCGTTTGCTGTGTGTATGACTGTATTATAAATGTTCTAAAAAGCATTGAGATGTTCCCAATTGGCTTGTGGAAATCAGTCTCATGCATGTGTTGTACGTTAAGAGTGTCAGTTGAGAGTCATTAACACTTAGTTACTCAGCAAAAGATTTTCCTTTTGTTTATATTACCTATTTTGCGAACCCTATTTTTAACTCAATCCCTAAGACTCAAGAAGATGAAGGAAGAACTTTCAGAAAGACTCTTTAGGGCCAGCCGGGAGGGGTCTAGAGTGATGGTCAAGGCCACTGACTATATCTCAGCCCCTAGGAGCACTTCATCCTCTTCCTGCCAGTAAGCCAGCCCCTGTCTTTAAGGTCCATGGAGGCAAACTCCATACTTCACTCTGCAGTCCAGCTGAGATTTGACAGCCTCACACTCATCTCTAAGGTCTCCCCATTTTCTCCTGAGCACACGTCATCCGTACCTCCAAACATCTAAATCAAATGGCAGTGCATCTGATCCTGGACTTAGATGGAGGTGGCAGAGGCTAGAGAATTTTAGGGCACACCTGCCAGAGCCAGTGTGCTGGTAAGACCTACGTAACCTTGACTATGGCAAATAACCTTTGGTCTCATGTTCCCTGTACTTAAGGTGGTAAAAACAGTGGTGCTTACATCACAGTTTGTTGGGAAGGTAAATCAATGAAATCTAGAATGCGCCGTGCACATAGGAAGTGTGCGGTAAAATAAACTATTATTATTTTTGTTCTTTGGAGATGATATTCCTGTTCCTTGGGACTGGAGGGAAATAAATTGACAGAAGCATTACCTGTATGTGAGGTTGTATTTCGTCCACCCAGGGAGAGTGAAGCCATACTGACCCACATCAGGAACCCCACACCTGGGTGTCTTCATGATCTCCAGCGTGTTTGAGTCCAGCTTTCCAGTCACTGTCAGCCCAAAAAATGCTTGCATTTCCCGAAGTTTGCCATCCATGAGACTCCTGTTCATGCTTTGAACAAGATGGCTCCCTTCTATTTCAAGAGAGTAGAACTGGTTGAGATATGCCTGACCGAAAAGAGAAAAAACGGCACAGACTACAGGAAAGCAAATTTCCATCTCAGGATAAAACAAAGTTGTCTGAAATCCTTTTGGGCAGTGGGGGAGGAGGAGGAAAATAAGCAATGAGGACAAGGAAGGAGCAAGAGAAATAAGAAGGAAACAAAGAGGAAAGAAAATAGTCACCCTGTTTTCCAATTTCCAAGAACTGTAGAGCCATGTGTCATCAGAATTGGCCAAACCACTCAACCCATAAAACTCCAAACCTCCACAGAAGAAAATCAAGCTTCTTCTATGTGTTACATGATTACATATCTTACACATTTTTACTGTGACATTCATTTTAGCGTTTCTTTGAAACACATCCTAGATAGATGTTATTCATCTGGCAAATTTAATTGATTTAACCAAATATGGCAAACCAGCTGGACTGATTTTTAGAGGGAATCTCCAAAGCAGTGTATTTTTCATACATAGAAGGATAAGGGGATCCAAATTGTATTTGGCACCTCCTAGCTGGTCTTAAAATACTTTTTTTTTCTAAAAAAATTTTTTTAATATAGTTTTATCGATTTCAGAGAGGAAGGGGGAGAGAGAGAGAGGTAGAAACATCAGTGATGAGAGAGAATCATTGATCAGCTGCCTCCTGAACACCCCTACTGGGGATCAAGCCCACAACCCGGGCATGTGCCCTTGACCAGAATCAAACCCAGGATCCTTCAGTCCACTGGCCGACGCTCTATCCACTGAGCTGAACAGGCTTAAAATACCTTTATATGGAGCTCCATTTTCTGCAGGGCTGTCCCCTTTCTCTGCTCACCAGCTCTTCACTTGTTATCATTGCTCAAAGGTGTAGCAATCCTGCGTCTCCCCAACCCCACACTCTCACTCTCCACCCCCACACATAGATCCTTGATGTCCGTGGAACTAGGAAAATAAAAAGCAGCTCCTTCTCACAAGAGAGTTCAGGATTCTTTTGTAGGTATTTTTCTGTCTTTTTAAGTCCCAGGACAATCAATAAAATGAATTTTTTATTGATAGTCATTAATAACATTTATTGAGCCAGTACCTGAGCCAGGTGCATGTTTTCTTCATCTTCCATCTTTTGTTCTGTAGGAAATGCAGAAGAAAACGCTGTGAAGAGCACAAGTAGAAGCAGAAGGTTCTTCATTCCTCTGTCTCTTCAGTTGAAGCCTGGTTCTGTTTGCAAAGAATTTAGAAAATAATAGTGAGACGTGGCATGGATTGGCTTGTATCATCGTTTAATTAATAACAGAAAAAGGACATTTGCCATGAAGTGTGTCATGACAGGCTTTTTTTTCTCTCCTTAGGTTGAAGTGATTTTGCAATCAAGATCTGCAATTGTTTAGTAAACAAAGCCATTGTTCATTAGTGAATTAAATATAATATGAAGTCAGCTCCAAGTTACTTTTGTCCTTGCCAACTTGGAGGTTTTCCTGTTCATAAATTCTTGAGAGTTTATAAAATAACTAGTGGCCCCGTGCACAAAATTCGTGCACATTAAAAGGGAATTAACTACGGGAAATATTTTAATATTGCTATTTGCCCTTTCTCTATAATAGAAGTGTCAGAGATGAAAGAAAATTAGTAAAATCTCCCTCCTGTCAGAGTCTGGGGCACACTGCGGGACCCAGAGTCAAGTCCCTGCCCACCTGCGCATGCCTCAAAGTTGCATGAGACCCAGACGCAGCCGGCCCCACCCCCGTCAAGCCCTGCAGGGCGAGGGGTGCAGTCTCAGGTCCCCTAGCCCCAGCGCCAGGGTGTGGGGATGTGGCCTCAGGTCCCCCAGCTCGGCATCGGGTCCCCTGGAGGGGATGTGGCGTCAGGTCCCCTGGCCCCGGCGCAAGGGCATGAGGGTGCAAGGGCACAAGGGAGTAATGACCATTCGCATATTAGCTCTTTACTAGAGGCCCGGTGCACAAAATGTCTGCAATGGCGGGGTGGGGGGTCCCTCAGCCCAGCCTGCACCTTCTCTAATCTGGGACTCCTTGGGGGATGTCCAACTCACAATCTGGGACTGCTGGCTCCTAACCACTCACCTGCCAGCCTGATTGATTCCTAATTGCTCCCCTGCCAGGCCAATTGCCCCCAACTGCCCTCGGCTGCCAGCCTGATCAACCCCAACTGCCCTCCCCTGCTGGCCTGATCACCAACAACTGCCCTCCCATACTGGCCATCTTGTGGCAGCCATCTTGTGGTGGCCATCTTGTGGCGACGTAGGGATAGCCATCTTGTGATGATGTGAGGGTGTCATGTGAAGGTGCAAGGGCGTGAGGGCCACCTAGGTTTTATTAGTATAGATTATATAGGATTTTTTTTGAATGAAACTCTAAAATTATCTTGGGTAACATGGTATCATGAAAAGACAGTTGAATTAGGAATCAATTGATAAAATTAACTAGGGAAAACATCAAATGTTTATTGAGCACCTACTATTTGCCTGTCACTGTAAGTCACAATTTTGGTGGAGAGTTCAGACCTATACAGAGACCAAGGCCAGACAAAATGGAGGCAAGTAGCAAATGTAGAGTGAAGATTCCTGAAACTTTGAGAAGGGACTGAGAGTGTTTAAACTGGTGGGGTTTGCAGTTGGTCTTGAAAAATGCGTAGGATTTGGATTGTGCAGATTAAGGGAAAAGGTGTATGAGTGGAGGGAGGCTGTAGAAAGCAGGTACTGCAGTAACAATGAGCTGAGGGAAATATGGCCCTATTGGAGCAAATACATGTGTTGACAGCCATAGTAGATGGGATAGAGGGTCTAAGAAAGGTATAGAGAAAATGAATGTTTAGAATCTTTATTATTTCATGATTGCATTTGATTGAGAGTGTGTCTGGATCGAGAATTTCAGGCTGAAATAAATTTCCCTTTGAACTTTGAATGTACTGTTCCATTGTTTTCTAGAATCCAATGTTGTGGTTGAGTAGTTTTTTATTCTGATTCTTGATATTTTTTCTTTTTTTCTTCTGAAAACTTTTAGAAATCTCTTTACCTAGATATTCTGAAATTTCATAATGATGTGTCCTAATGTGGGTCTTTTTGCATCAACATAGCTGGGGAGTTAGTGGGTCTTTTCATTATGAAAACTTCAATTGGAGGGAACTTTCCTGTTATTTCTTTGAAATTTCTTCCCATTCATTTTCATCTTTTTTTCCAGGTATATATATTTGTTGGACCTCTGGATTGAGTCTCTGTGTTTCTAATTTCTGTTTTCCATTAACTTTATTTTCCAGCTCACTTACTGAGTTTCCCACTTCAGCTATATTGTTAATCTCCAAGAGCTCTTTCTAGTTCTCTGAGTATCATTTTTTTACTTTTTTTTTTTGCATTTTGTTATTCTATTTGGATGTAAAATAGGCCGTATTTTAAGGGAATATTAAGCATATTTTTAGTTTATTTTGACATTTTATTTTGCTCCCAGGATTATCTGAATTCCAAAAAATTTTTTGGTGTCTGCTTTTCACATTAGAAGCTTTTTTTTCCCTCCTAAAGTTTGGAGACCTTGTGTTGTGCACTCTGTTTAAGAATAGGAGGCAAACCCTGGTCAGGTAGCAGCTCAGTTGGTTAGACTGTATCCTGATAGGCCAAGGTTTTGGGATCTATTCCTGGGCAGGGCACATACAAGAAGCAATTAATGAATGCATAAATAAGTGGAACAACAAATTGATGTTTCTCTCTCTTCCCCTCTCACTTTCTTTACCCTTCCTTTCCTCTCTTTCTCTAAAATTAATAAATACAAATTTAAAAAGAATGAGAAACAAGAAAGCTGACTGCAAGCTCTGTGTGCATGGCAGGGATTGTCAATCAATGACCTCCACTGCCTGGAAGTAGGTGGGTTCTAGACTTGACACATTAGTTAGAATGAGTTTTGGTTGAATATGATAGCAAAACAAAATGGCAGATGACTTGAAAAAATTATTTTTCTCTCCCATAGAAGGCATTCAGATTTGGTGATCCAGGGTGTGTATGAGAACTCCACATCATCAGGGAAGTAGGCAACATCTTGCTGCACCCACCACACTCTTAGTGTAACACCTCATCATGGTCCACATGGCTTCTCAAGCTTTAGTGAATGTGTCTTCCTCACAGGCAGCAGGAAGGGGAAGGCAGGAAAAGTAAATTCCCAGTCTCTTTCCAGAAGCCCATACAATATCCTGCTTTCACATTTTGGCAAGAAGTTAACATGTGGCCACGTCTAGATGAAAGCAAGGATACAGACTGTATTCTTTTAGCTGGATGCATTGCTACTGCAAACAAAATTGAGGTCTTATAGCAGCAAAGAGAGGGGAGAATCGTGTTAATGTAGGCAACTGGCAGCCTCTGCCCCATTTTTCTACAGTGTATCTGCAAGTCTTTATTTCTTGGGCTAGTAAGTTTCACCAGAGAAGACTCCTCCAATTGCCCATCATTTTAATCTCCCAACAGCAAAGATGAAGGAGATGGTGGTCAGTGCTCTGGTGCCCTGTGTCACATCCCCGAGGCACACCTTTGATTGTAGTTGCGATGGCAGAGGATGGGTTTGTGTGACTCACCTTGTTCTGACAAAGTCCAGCTTGAAGGGCATACTTGGATATTCTTCTGCTTTCTACCCGGGGCACCGAGATGCCAGAGCCTGACAGGTCATTGCCTTAGAGCCACGCAATGGGTCAGGGAGCAGAAAGATGACTGTTCCAGCCTTCTCTCCACTGAGACCTGAATAGTTGACTGGTGCTCTGTAGGCTTCTCAGGCGATTTGGATGAACCTGAGCCAATTGCAGTTAGCAGTTGCTCATAGCAAATACCCAGTAACGCACACGTGTGTTGGCTTTTATTCCTTCTCTGTTTCAGTCTCCTTGCTGCCTCAGTCTTGCTTCCTGGGACCATGACCTGAATAAAATAACTCTACCAAGGTCTTAGGCTTTGCTTTTGAAAAAAAAAGACCTCAAGTTAAGATAAAAATAATCTTATTATTTAAATTCCAGGCTTAGATTCTTACATCACTTGTATTCACATAAAATTTCAGCAGAACAGCCAGAAAATAGCATACGTTGTCAAGAAAAGAACCTAAAAAAAGAATAAATTTTTTGAATTCTTTATTATACTTATGTTTCTATCTACTTCCTATGACTATAAAATATGGTTAAAGAAATAATATGCACTCAGTTCTTATCTCAAAAATGTGTAGGTAAAGTTTGGGCCAAGAATCTATCATGACCAACAGGTGCTCTGAGAAGATGAATCTCCTAACTTCATGTTTGTACTAACTGACATAAGTGTTAGAAAATATGATAGATAACCTGAAACTGAATCTACTGTTAAAAGTGAAATACCCACATCTTACATGTCATTCTGCACTTGCTAAATTGATAAAATGAATTGTTTATATATTGATCTCACTTCCCTTAGCATAGCACTATAATACATAGGTCACTGATCTATCCTTATTGAATAAATGAACAAATGAAGACAATTATAGTATACCAGAGGTCTGGTGCATGAAATTTGTGCATGGGTAGGGTCCCTAGGCCTGGCCTGCGATCAGGGCCAATCTTCCCTGGCTGCCAGCAACCAGTCTGCCCCCACTGCCCTCGCCACCCATCCCCAGTTCCCCATTCCCCATCAGGCGATTAGAGCCTGCTGGCTGCGGGGAGAGACTGAGAGGTTGGCTGTTTCCGCCCACTTGCTGGCCTGCCTCCGGCTGCCGGTTGCCCTCTGTGTGTGGGACGACTGGCAGGGCGATCAGGGACCCGCTTACTTGCACCCACCTTGGTCTGGCACTGCCCGTGTCTGCTGCCACCAACCCCTGGTTCCCCGTTCCCCATCAGGCCTGCCAGCCGTGGGGAGGGACCAAGAGGTTGGCTGTCAGGGCCTCTGGGCTGGGGGCAGCTCCTGCATTGAGAGTCTGCCCCCTGGTGGTCAGTCTGTGTCATAGTGACCGGTTGTTCTGCCAGCCTGTTGATTTGCATATTATTCTTTTATATATATACTAGAGGCCCAGTGCACAAAATTTGTGCATAAGTAGGGTCCTTAGGCCTGGCCGGCGATCAGGGCCAATCTGCAGGGCGAGTGGTGGGGCGATTTGGGGGCTCCTGCTGGCACCCCCTTGGCTGGCCTGGGGGCCTGTGGACTGGGGGCAGCTCCTGCATTGAGTGTCTGCCCCCTGGTGGTCAGTGGGCCTCATAGTGACTGGTCGTTCCGCCGTTTGGCCGACTTGCATATTAGGCCTTTATTATATAGGATATAGATTAGAGGCACAGTGCATGAAATTTATGCATGTAGGGGGGGTGGCCCTCAGCCCTGCCTGCACCCTCTCCAATCCGGGACCCCTTGGAGGATGTCCTCAGGGATCGGGCCTAAACCGGCAGTCAGACATCCCTCTCACAATCTGGGACCGCTGGCTCCTAATCGCTCATCTGCCTGCTTGCCTGATTGCCCCTAACTACTCTGCCTGCCTGCCTGATCGCCCCTAACTGCTCTCCCCTCCCAGCCTGATCATCTCTAACTGCTCTCTCTGCCAGCCTGATCACCCCTAACTGCCTCTGCCTCGGTGCCTGCCACTGTGACTTTGTCCGGAAGGATGTCCAGAAGACGTCTGGTCTAATTAGCATATTACCCTTTTATTAGTATAGATGCTAGTATGTGTTTTCTCATTTTGTAAAATAAATTGAGAATAATGTGCTGGCATATTTTAAGAATTTTTTTTTGAGGGCATTGAGCATTTACTAAATACTAGAGGCCTGATGCATGAAATTTTGTGCAAGAGTAGACCTTCCTTCCCCTGGCTGCCGGCACTGGCTTCCCTCCAGCACCTGGGACCCGGGCTTCCCTCCCCCGGCCACCGGCAATCACCTGGGACCCGGGCTGGCTTCCCTCCAGCCCAGCTTGGTCAGGAAGGACATCCGGAATGATGTCCGGAAGACATTCATTCTAATTAGCATATTACCCTTTTATTATTCAGATTCCATAACCTGTGAAGCAATATCTAAAAGCTTAATATAATTGTGACAAGGGAATAAATGGCTGTAAACAGTATATCAAAATTTGCTATTTTTATACTTTAGATTAACTATGTGGTGGTAGCTAAGAAATTATAGTAGATTACAAGTCAGTTGTTGAAAATATTTATTTTGAATTCATTTAATAAATATTTTTTGAATTAGAATAAGGTGCTAAATTATCTATATATATAAAAGCCTAAGTGACTGAATGACTGAATGACCAATTGCTATGACACGCACTGACCACCAGGGGACAGATGCTCAATGCAGGAGCTGCCCCCTGGTGGTCAGTGTGCTCCCACAGTGGGAGCACTGTTTAGCTGACCGATGGGCACCAGATGCAGGCCTCATGGCTGGCCATCGCAGCCTGGAGACCGCAGTGGAATGGCAGTGAGCCTACTGAGTGGTGGTGGCAGGCGCAGCAGGGCCAGGATGAGCAGGAGCAGCAGGCAGGAGTGGAAGGTGGCATTGGACTCCTGGTTTTGACCCGATCCCTGCAGGCCACGCCGAGGGACCCCATTGGTGCATGAATCCGTGCACCAGGCTTCTAGTACCAGATAATAATTACTGTGGAATTTACAAACTTTAATAGAAAAAGAAAATAGGATGTGCTAGTGATAAATATATTTATAATTCACATATTTATTGTGTAATAAGGTACATTACATTCTAAGATCTGCAAATATACATGATTTTGATGTCTAGACTAGACACTATGGTCTCACAGGTATTCAAACAGGACGGGCTGCTCGTGCGGCTGCTGGAAAGAGCCACTAGCAAATTTAAGCTCAATTTAATGAGATTTATTGAATTTTGTGCTCAGCATTGTTTGTACAGTAAACCCCAATTATCTGTAGAGGGTGTCCTCCTGAGTATACCCGGAAAAAAGAAATAAAGAGCTACAGTTTCAATGAGCCCATTTGCTTGGACTGTAGAAGGAGAGAGTGGGAGGAAGCAGGAGATGAAGTGGAACCTTTTGCTGCCACCCCTCCCCCCGAAGATGCCAATAATCCTTTCTGAGGGTTCAACTTTGTCATTATCTGCTGATTCATTTCCTGAAGTGCAGGTATACTGTATAAGCTTCCTAGGGCTACCATAACAAAGTACCAAGACTTGGTAGCTTAAAACAATAGAAGTGTATTCTATCAGCGTTCTAGAGGCTAGAGGTCTAAAATCAAGGTGTTGGGGGTGGGGTCATGTTCTCTCCGAAATCTCTAAGGAGGATCCTTCCTTGCCTCTTTCTAGCTTCTGGTGGATTCTGGCGGGTCCTTGCATGTACATGCATTGCTCCAATCTCATCTCTATCTTCACACGGCCTTCTCCTCTGTGTATTTATCTCTCTCCTCTTCTCATAAGGACACCTAGTCCAGTATAAACTCATCTTAAGTCATTACATTTGCAAAGGCTAATTCCAAACAAGGTACATTCATAGATAACCTAGGGTTTGGACTTAAACATGTATTTTTTTTTGGGGGGGGGGGCATAATTCAACCCACATGTACCAACAATATTTATTTCCAAGAGTGGAAAATAGCACCACATTTTCAATAGAAGCAAGGGGTTCTGCCTAGCCAAAACCCAGTGCTAAATTGCATGTAGCAGTACACATAAGACATGTTTAAAGAGATTTAGGTATATATATATATGCATTTACAAGTCAGATAAGCAAGTAATGAAATAGTTGCTTATCTTCTGGGTGACAAAGAGGTCTTAACCCCTTTCTCTCGAGATGGGTTCACTAACCTGAGATGGAATATGAAAGAACTAAATCAGACTCTGCAAACAGCAGAATACATAAACATATTTTCACAGAAGACAAGTCCAAGGAATAGAGTGATACCAAACAGCATTATTTACTATTGAGAAAAGTATAATAGGACACACCATGGATATGCAAATTAGACTTCCCTTTCATATTCAGAAAATGGATACAAACACATTTGATTTTGCTTCAACTCTATCTACAATTGAGCCATCGAATGCTTCTGTCAACCCCAGTGACTCTACGAACATTAAGATTAAATGCATAATATCTTGGTCCACTGAAGAAAAGGAAGAAATCTATAAAAAAAAAAGATAAAGTTTTGAATTAGTCTGTGGAAGTAAGATTTCCGATGCTCTCAATTAAAAATACTCCACTCCTATCCCATAACATTCAAATGCAAATATGCCACTTAAAATATTGAAACAATTTTTTTTTTCTACTTACCATTCTCCTGGAAAACTGCATCAACTCTACTGTCTATTCCTTGAAAGCTACTTGCTATGCTTTTGGGGTAACCTGGTTCCATGGATTGTCTTTCGTTATCATATCTGATGAGAAAAAAAGTCCCGTGTTTTAAGGCCAATACAGTATATAAGTATAATGGTTTTATTTAAATTGTATATGTCCTTTTTACTGGGACTAAGAATGGGTAACTTTTAAAAAATATATATATTTTATTGATTTTTTACAGAGAGGAATGACCTCTTCCTGAAGCCTAATCGGTATCTGCCCTTTAGTATCCTTTTTTTTTTTTAAATATATTTTATTGATTTTTTACAGAGCGGAAGGGAGAGAGGTAGAGAGTCAGAAACATCGACGAGAGAGAAACATCGATCAGCTGCCTCCAGCACATCTCCCACTGGGGATGTGCCCGCAACCCAGGTACATGCCCTTGACCGGAATCGAACCCGGGACCCTTCAGTCCGCAGGCCGACGCTCTGTCCACTGAGCCAAACCGGTTTTCGCAAGAATGGGTAACTTTTAAAATTGGTACCCATTTATAAAATATATGTGTATCATTATTACTAAAACAGGTTTTTGATTACTGGTGCAGTGTTATTTTTAAAAAGAAGAGCTATATTTTCTAAGGCTTTTGGTTAACTGATATGTAGTCTCTCCCTCTCTCTCTGAATAAATGTAAATAATAAATCTAACTTGGGCACCAGATTTTGTAGGCTGTCTGGCTAGCACTTGCTTAAGAATGTTAGACTTGAACTCATAAATGAGAGTTAACTTAACTTTTTGCAGCCCATCCTAGTGCTTTATTAAGATTTGCTCATGATATAGAATCTTCAATACCATTGTGCAGGCATTTTAATTTTATAAAAAATAAAAATTTCACCCTAGCCGGTTGGCTTAGTGGATAGAACGTCGGCCTGCGGACTGAAGGGTCCTGGGCTTGATTCTGGGCAAAGGCACATGCCTGCAATGTCCTGGGCTTGATTCTGGTCAAGGGCACATGCCTGCGATGTGGGCTCAATCCCCAATGAGAGACATGCAGGAGGCAGTCGATCAATGATTCTCTCTCATCATTGATGTTTCTATCTCTCTCTCCCTCTCCCTCCTTCTCTGAAATCAATAGTAAACAAAAATTTTTCAAAAGATATAGCAACATTAACTATCATATGAAAAGGAATGGCTACCAAAGACCACTTAAGTTTTTAAAGTTTTCAGATGTCTGATTATTAATGGTTTGTAGACAGGGTCAATAAACATAGATTTCAATCTCTAGTTGAACGAATAGTTGACCTTACCTCCAGAACTGGTTATTCACAAAGAAGTATGTTTTTGTCCTGTAGGAAACGGCTGCATCAATTGCTTGAACATTGCTTGGGAACCCGTAATTTGATATATCCTTGGGATAACCTTGCTGAATGTCATAGCCATTTAGAGCCCAGTACTGCTTGCCTGCAAATGATTCAGTTTATATGTGAGATAAAATGCTTCCTTTCCTACAAAATAATGTGTATCACTTGTTATTCATTGCATACGTTTAACATAGAAATGAAAATGGGACAAAGAGTCTTTAAAAAATAAAGGTGATAAAGTGAAGTTCATTGGGCTATAATAGCCTCAGTGGTACTCCAGCTCCTATTTAAAAATTCCAACTTCCCACCCGGCCGGTGTGGCTCAGTGGTTGAGCATCAAAATATGAACCAAGAGGTCATGGTTTGATTTCCAGTCAGAACACATGCTCTAGTTTGTGGGCTTGATCTCCAGTAGGGGTCATGCAGGAGGAAAAAAAATAAAAAATTCCAACTTCTCAGCTTGACATCTCACAATTGGATGTCTTATTTTCCAAGA